GTTGTTCCCAGCTTGTTTTTTGTTACCTTTGTTCTGTATCTAAAACATGTGACATATAAATTATCGAAAGTCATTCAAGCGTGAAATATTTGTCTAGTTGTGTGAGCGAGATTTTGTATGTCATAGATATACGCACTGATGAATTTGCACCGATACGTGACGTATAGCATCTTAGATATATTAAACCCAAACTGAAAATGTAACCAGTCACTCAAGCGTAAAAAGTAGGTCGTTGTTTGAACGTTTTTAATATGCAAGATGCATCCATTAACGACGTTTTATTATTATTGGAAGTATAGTACCCTAGATATGGACCGAAACAAGGAGAGTTTTCGGTGGCCGTGGATATGCTTAACTATCCAAGGTGTATGTATTCAATGATGAAATGAATAAACTTTACCCTATAAGAATAAGGAGATGTGGTATGATTTCCAATGACACATCTACCCAGCAAAGTTTATAAATATCCGAACGAATTATTAGAAAAAATAGAATTGAATATTTTTAGCAATAAATGCTACTTATACGGAATTCATTTTTGTAATTCGTTAGACTTTCAGTCACAAAGTGAGTCGGCTGAATTAACACTCTATTTGAAAAAAATGAATAAGATTCCTACTTTGAAAATGTACCGCATATACAATAGAAATGAAACGCCCCTACAGTGAAAGTGAAAGTATTGTATCATTTTTCGACAGGAAACATGAATCGCAATTTAACAAAAGCTGCACAGTGCAATTTAACTCAATATCAACAAACAGAAGGACAAATAGAATTGAGAATAGAAACGTCGAGTGTGTCAAAAAATAAAAAAAACAATTATATCCAACTCCAAGTAAAATTCAAAACGGAAAGTCCCTATCAAATGGCAAAATAAAAAGCTCAAACACATCAAACGAATGGAAAACAACGTCATATTCCTGACTTGGTACAGGCATTTCCTTATTTAGAAAATGGTGGATTAAACCTGGTTTTATAGCTAGAGACAACAACTCGACCAAAGAGCAGAAAACAGCCCAAGTCCACCAATGGGTCTTCAACACAGCGAGAAAATCCCGCACCCGGAGGCGAGCTTCAGCTTCCCCCTAAACAATAATGTATACTAGTTCAGCGAAAATGCAAGTCACTATAAACCCCGAAACACATAAATGAACCAAAATTAAAACAAAACATACAAGACTAACAAAGGCCAGAGGTTCCTGCCTTGGGACAGGCGCAAAAATGCGGCGCAGTTAAACAATTTTGTGAGATTTCAACCTTCCCCTATACAACGAGCTAATGTGGAATAAACAAACACACAGTTTTAATAAAGTCCGAGTCCGATGTTAGAATAGGTAACAGAAGAAACTAAGCAAAATGACAATGATCAACATTAATTAACAAAGGACTACTAGCAGTTACTGACATGCCAGCTCTAGTCCTCAATTAAATTGAACGAAAAATTATGTCTTCATCATATGAATATCCAGCACAATCCCTTATGCACGTTAGGGGTTTAGTATCATACCATCATAAAATATACGAGACGAACATAACCCGTATCATGCCAACAACTGGTTTTAGAATACATTTCCATTCTCAATTTTATGTGTTTATTTCCGATGCAAAGACCCCATGAGTGAATCAATATTAATTCTTGAGGTGAATGACGATATTTTTGTGCTTTGTATTGAATATTACAATTTAAGATGGAACATGAAATACCTGAACGTTTAAGATGTCTGCACGTTGATTTATATTTACGAATGATGTCCTTGTAGCGATGATAGAATTTAGTAAATTTTTTGACAAGTTTGTGATATCGAAAACGCTGGTGTAATAATTTTTCAGTAAAACAGATTTCTTTCGTTAAAATTAAATTCGTTGTTACATACACGAGCGAATCGAACAAGTTGAGATATATAAACACCATAAGATAGTGCCAAGGGAACGTCACCATAATAAAAATGGATAATTAACTATAGGAAATGAAAAATCATCTCTTTTATCGTAAATTTTAGTATTTCGCTTCCCGTTAAAAATATAGATATCATGAAACCTGTTTTAAGTTATAAAACATTAATGATGATGTTAAAATGTTTATTTTCTTTTATCGTAAAATCTAGTATTAAGCTTCCTGTTAAAGATATAGACATACAAAAACAACTATGATAAGTTATAAAACATTAATGATATATTTTTCTGGAAAAAAAAAACCTTTACTGCTGCTTTGAAATCTCCTGTACGCTCTGTTCGTAAGTATTCTAAATATTCACACATTTGAATATCAATTTCACACCTGGATGACTGTAGGCTCGATATAAACCCGTCTACATCTATTATTTGTATCATGAATTTATTTAAAACAATCTTATTTTATTAAAAAATCATCAATTTTTCGTCTTTATTTGTCGTTCTAGATCAGAAATACATGACAGATACAACTAAAATGGTATTTCAGGATTCGCACTTTGTATACAATGAAAAAGCGGATATATTTCTTTATTCTCATAAAGCCAATGCATGACATCAGTACCAGGGTTTTCGATATCATAAACTAGTCAAAACATTTACTACATTTTATGCAGACATCTTATACGTTCGGGTATTTCACATCCAATCTTTTATGGTAATATTTTTTACAAAGCACAAAAATGTCAGTATTCACCTCAAAAGCTAACACAACATTTAAACAGACTTATTAAGAAGGGATATAGTTACGAAACTGTTGTCAGGTCATTAAAGATTGCATATTTTGGCTTTAATATTGATCCACTTACAGGGTCTTTGCATCGGAATTAAACATATTTATTCTAAAACCAGTTGTTGGCATGACACGGGTTATGTTCTTCTCATATATTTTATGATGGTATAATACTAAACCCTTAGGGGAGGGATTGTGCCTGATAATCATATGATGAAGACATAATCTTTCAATCAGTTTAATTGAGGTCTGGAGCTGGCATGTCAGTAACTGCTAGTAGTCTGTTGTTATTTATGTATTATTGTCATTTTGTTTATTTTCTTTTGTTTCCTATTCTGACATCGGACTCGGACTTCTTTTAAACTGAGTTTTACTGTGCGTTCTGTTGTACGTTTGTTTTTTCTACATTGACTAGAGGTATATGGGGAGGATTGAGATCTCCTAAAACATGCTTACCCCCGCCGCATTTTTGCGCCTGTCCCAAGTCAGGAGCCTCTGGCCTTTGTTAGTCTTGTATCATTTTTAAATTTAGTTTCTTGTGTAAAATTTGGAGTATAGTATGACGTCCATTATCACTGAACTAGTATACATATTTGTTTAGGGGCCAGCTGAAGGACGCCTCCGGGTGCGGGAGTTTCTCGCTGCATTGAAGACCCATTGGTGGCCTTCGGCTGTTGTCTGCTCTATGGTCGGGTTGTTGTCTCTTTGACACATTCCCCATTTCCATTCTCAATTTTAGAGATAACAACAATAACTATTTACAATATATACAAAAGAAGGGAGAGGTTACCAGGAGGACAAACACAAGTATTAATATTTTTTTTATAAATGAACAAAGTTTCTTCAGGACTGGTTTTCGTGTACTCGACATAAGTTCAGAGAATTTAACTGTAGTATGTCGTTGTACAAAATAGGAGGTTAAATACTCTTTACGTTTTTGATCGAAAAAAGTACATTCAAATATATAGTGATATTCGTCTCCAATTTGTCGATTGTTACATTGATGGCAAAAACGGTTTTCTCTTAATACGTTTTACCACCTTCCTGTTTCAATCGGCAATTTGTTATTAGTCGTTCGAAATCGACAGAGGAGAACAACGGCATCTTTAAAGTTCAAAATATTAAAATATTCCTCAAATTCCCAGTTTTTCTTAACAATTTTGTAGTTAATAGCTTTTGACGAATTTTGGATTCTGGTCTAACAATCTTTGCTTTATAACAGTTTTTAACCGATCATTATTAATGAAATTTTGTGTTTCCCATAATATGAGAAACCACAATTTTAAATTATTTTTTTGACAAATAGAATCCATTTAGTCTGCATGTTATGGTGAGAGTTCCTATGGCGAGAAAGTTGATATAATATAAAGGAAAACTTTGCTTGTTTGCCAGATATCAAATTTGCCCAAAATAATACTGCTCGAACTTTTATATATATGTCGACCGGATGGCGACCTAGTGCCCCGTAAACCATTATGATTTGGCGTTGAGGATTTCAGATTTAAAAGTAATTTACAGAATTTTCTTATACATCATAATTACTAAAACCCCATATTTCGCACCCATACAACAGAATGGGCTTGATCATTTTGTCAAAAAGATTAAGCTGACATTTTACAGAAAGCTGATACATCCTTCTTATTTTCAGGACTTCGTACACAGCTTTTAAGGCCTTATCGGATAAATGTTTTTTTTTTTGTCATATTCATATGATACATATCTCTAAGTTCACAAAATAAAGCTCATGTTTAAAACTATAAGTTACCACCCACATTTTTTTCGAATATTTTCATTAACGTAAGCTGTCTATAATTGATCATGTGACGAAAAATATTAAAGTTGACAGATGAGATGTGGGGTACGAGGCAACCATCCTGCTAAACAAAAGAACCAACAAATGATCTAATCTAAAAGGTAAACAAATGTATGATATAATAATAAACAAGTCTTTACACAGTTCAGTGCAGCATTTAATTCAAACAGAAGTGTTGGGAGTTAAGGACAAAGTTCACTATGCTAAAATTTGGACTTAACTTGAACTTTATCATACTAGACAAAATAAACCACACTTGAATTCCAAAAGCTCCGATGCTAAGTAAAACAAATCTTTGGATACGTGTACATTATATGCTCCAATGTCATTAATTTCAGATATATATAATAAATCATTGTCAAAACATGATAATTTTGTGCAGATAATTTGGACAATATTCACACCACACCTTCAAAGTTCTTGAAATGTTTTATCTCATAATAAATGTCTACTATTATTTATAGTTTACTATGCAGTTCTCATAATTTCAAAATAGTATAATACCTTTTCTTCGTTTCATCTAAGGCTGAAACAACTTTGTTGTGTGATTCTTCAACTTTATTTATTCTGAAAAATATACCATCGTTCAATGTGTTTAAGGAAACTCCGAAATAGACAAACGTGTTTTTCTTTTATAAATTTTATGTCTGTAGTAGTATTGCAAAATGAACATTATAAGTTATCTACGTTCATATCCCGGTCTTAGTCCAAATCTGGCGATTTTTTGGAAATTCTAGCACAAAGTGTAACGTGAAAACAACGTTATTCGCAATTGAAAGCATGCGTAACTAGAAAACTGAATTAACAGCAAATGACCCATTTGCACATGCTTGTGTAGGACACAGACACCCATAATTAAGTCTCCCAAACGAAGTTTGGGAAGACTTATTGTTGTTGATCAGTTCTTATTATTCGTCTTCTTCTTCTTCTTCTTCTTCTTCTTCTTCTTCTTCTTCTTCTTCTTCTTCTTCTTCTTCTTCTTCTTCTTCTTCTTCTTCTTCTTCCGCCGCTTTTAAATTTGAACTTGTCCGCACCCGTTCTCCAAAACCGCTTGTCAGAATAACTTAGGGTTTCACAATATGTTAGACTAACATGTCTAGTGGTGCAATCAGGGTTTTGTTTGTGCAATGGGGTTTATAAAGGGGTACTTTGAGGGGCAAAAAGAAAAGAGGGTTTTACTATAGAACCCTATGGGATTTTATTTTTTTAAATTTTCAAATGATTATAAATTGAAAACCGTTTGTGATAGACACAATCATTTTAATTGAAAATGTTCTAAATGATAAAGCCCATTAAATGAAATACAGGGTTAGTCCCCAGGGGTCATCCCCACCCCCTGCCATTTAGGAAAGTTCTAATACCTTGTAAGTGGTCAAGATCCCCACCCCTAAACCATATATATTCTGGTTTGTCATGCTAAGATGGTTTGAATGATATACAGGGTTAGTCCCCAGGGGTCATCCCGACCCCCTGCTATTTGAGAAAGTTCTAATATCTTGTAAATGGTCGAGATTCCCACCCCTAAACCATATATATTCTGGTTTGTCATGATAAAGCACATCAGATGTAATACAGTGTTAGTCCCCAGGGGTCACCCCACCCCCTGCCATTTAAAAGGAAGTTCTAATATCTTCTAAGTGGTCAAGATCCCCACCCCTAAACCATATATATTCTGGTTTGTCATGCTAAGATGGTTTGAATGATATACAGGGTTAGTCCCCAGGGGTCATCCCGACCCCCTGCCATTTGAGAAAGTTCTAATATCTTGTAAATGGTCGAGATCCCCACCCCTAAACCATATATATTCTGGTTTGTCATGCTAAGATGGTTTGAATGATATACAGGGTTAGTCCCCAGGGGTCATCCCGACCCCCTGCCATTTGAGAAAGTTCTAATATCTTGTAAATGGTCGAGATCCCCACCCCTAAACCATATATATTCTGGTTTGTCATGATAAAGCACATCAAATGAAATACAGGGTTAGTCCCCAGGGGTCACCCCACCCCCTGCCATTTAAGAAAGTTCTAATATCTTGTACGTGGTCAAGATCCCCACCCCTAAACCATATATATTCTGGTTTGTCATGCTAAGATGGTTTGAATGATATACAGGGTTAGTCCCCAGGGGTCATCCCGACCCCCTGCCATTTGAGAAAGTTCTAATATCTTGTAAATGGTCGAGATCCCCACCCCTAAACCATATATATTCTGGTTTGTCATGATAAAGCACATCAAATGTTATACAGGGTTAGTCCCCAGGGGTCACCCCCACCCCCTGCCATTTAAAAAAGTTCTAAAATCTTATAAGTGGTCAAGATCCCCACCCCTAAACCATATATATTCTGGTTTGTCATGCTAAGATGGTTTGAATGATATTCAGGGTTAGTCCCCAGGGGTCATCCCGACCCCTGCCATTTAAGAAAGTTCTAATACCTTGTAAGTGGTCAAGATCCCCACCCCTAAACCATATATATTCTGGTTTGTCATGCTAAGATGGTTTGAATGATATACAGGGTTAGTCCCCAGGGGTCATCCCGACCCCCTGCTATTTGAGAAAGTTCTAATATCTTGTAAAGGGTCGAGATTCCCACCCCTAAACCATATATATTCTGGTTTGTCATGATAAAGCACATCAGATGTAATACAGTGTTAGTCCCCAGGGGTCACCCCACCCCCTGCCATTTAAAAGGAAGTTCTAATATCTTCTAAGTGGTCAAGATCCCCACCCCTAAACCATATATATTCTGGTTTGTCATGCTAAGATGGTTTGAATGATATACAGGGTTAGTCCCCAGGGGTCATCCCGACCCCCTGCCATTTGAGAAAGTTCTAATATCTTGTAAATGGTCGAGATCCCCACCCCTAAACCATATATATTCTGGTTTGTCATGCTAAGATGGTTTGAATGATATACAGGGTTAGTCCCCAGGGGTCATCCCGACCCCCTGCCATTTGAGAAAGTTCTAATATCTTGTAAATGGTCGAGATCCCCACCCCTAAACCATATATATTCTGGTTTGTCATGATAAAGCACATCAAATGAAATACAGGGTTAGTCCCCAGGGGTCACCCCACCCCCTGCCATTTAAGAAAGTTCTAATATCTTGTACGTGGTCAAGATCCCCACCCCTAAACCATATATATTCTGGTTTGTCATGCTAAGATGGTTTGAATGATATACAGGGTTAGTCCCCAGGGGTCATCCCGACCCCCTGCCATTTGAGAAAGTTCTAATATCTTGTAAAGGGTCGAGATCCCCACCCCTAAACCATATATATTCTGGTTTGTCATGATAAAGCACATCAAATGTTATACAGGGTTAGTCCCCAGGGGTCACCCCCACCCCCTGCCAATTAAAAAAGTTCTAATATCTTATAAGTGGTCAAGATCCCCACCCCTAAACCATATATATTCTGGTTTGTCATGCTAAGATGGTTTGAATGATATTCAGGGTTAGTCCCCAGGGGTCATCCCGACCCCCTGCCATTTAAGAAAGTTCTAATACCTTGTAAGTGGTCAAGATCCCCACCCCTAAACCATATATATTCTGGTTTGTCATGCTAAGATGGTTTGAATGATATACAGGGTTAGTCCCCAGGGGTCATCCCGACCCCCTGCTATTTGAGAAAGTTCTAATATCTTGTAAATGGTCGAGATTCCCACCCCTAAACTATATATATTCTGGTTTGTCATGATAAAGCACATCAAATGTAATACAGTGTTAGTCCCCAGGGGTCACCCCACCCCCTGCCATTTAAAAGGAAGTTCTAATATCTTCTAAGTGGTCAAGATCCCCACCCCTAAACCATATATATTCTGGTTTGTCATGCTAAGATGGTTTGAATGATATACAGGGTTAGTCCCCAGGGGTCATCCCGACCCCCTGCCATTTGAGAAAGTTCTAATATCTTGTAAATGGTCGAGATCCCCACCCCTAAACCATATATATTCTGGTTTGTCATGATAAAGCACATCAAATGAAATACAGGGTTAGTCCCCAGGGGTCACCCCACCCCCTGCCATTTAAGAAAGTTCTAATATCTTGTACGTGGTCAAGATCCCCACCCCTAAACCATATATATTCTGGTTTGTCATGCTAAGATGGTTTGAATGATATACAGGGTTAGTCCCCAGGGGTCATCCCGACCCCCTGCCATTTGAGAAAGTTCTAATATCTTGTAAATGGTCGAGATCCCCACCCCTAAACCATATATATTCTGGTTTGTCATGATAAAGCACATCAAATGTTATACAGGGTTAGTCCCCAGGGGTCACCCCCACCCCCTGCCATTTAAAAAAGTTCTAATATCTTATAAGTGGTCAAGATCCCCACCCCTAAACCATATATATTCTGGTTTGTCATGCTAAGATGGTTTGAATGATATACAGGGTTAGTCCCCAGGGGTCATCCCGACCCCCTGCCATTTGAGAAAGTTTCTAATATCTTGTAAATGGTTGAGATCCCCACCCCTAAACCATATATATTCTGGTTTGTCATGATAAAGCACATCAAATGAAATACAGGGTTAGTCCCCAGGGGTCACCCCCACCCCCTGCCATTTAAGAAAGTTCTAATATCATCTAAGTGGTCAAGATCCCCACCCCTCAACCATATATATTCTGGTTTGTCATGCGAAGATGGTTTGAATGATATACAGGGTTAGTCCCCAGGGGTCATCCCGACCCCCTGCCATTTGAGAAAGTTCTAATATCTTGTAAACGGTTGAGATCCCCACCCCTAAACCATATAAATTCCTATTTGTCATGTCTCGAACATTTGAATGACGTATACGGTCAGTCCCCAGGGGTTCCCCCCACCCCCAATGTTCTAATATCTTGTAAATGGTTGAGATCCCCACCCCTAAACCATATATATTCCTGTTCGTCATGTAATGAACATTTGAATGACGTAAAGGGCCAGTCCCCAGGGGTTCCTCCCCACCCCCAATGTTCTAGTATCTTGTAAATGGTCTAGATCCCCACCCCTAAACCATATATATTCTGGTTTGTCATGCCAAGATGATTTGAATGATATACAAGGTTAGTCCCCAGGCATCACTAATGCATATAACTTTACTGGACCAAACCAATTTTCACTGGACGTTGCCCAATGTCAGGCGACCCTGGGAATTACGAATTATGGGAGCTTCGTTTGGGAGACTTCGTAACAGCATCCTGTTACAATCATTTCTTGTTGATATTGTAACTGATGCCATTATTTCCAGGGGTATCCACATTTCGAGAATTTGGTGAAAAATGAAATATTTTGCCTACTAAATTTATCCATTGGGTTCTAATGAATTAATCTTAAAAAACTGTTTTTGAATTGATTTTTTTCTTATTTATTTCAAATGTTAGCAACTTTGGGATTTTCGTGGTGAAAAATATAACTCTCGCATAATTGTCCTATTCAAATTTCTGATGATTTTTAAATATCAAATAGACGAACATTCAACAGCCATTATCAACATATATAAAACAGAGAAATAGAAAGAAGAAAAAACAATTTTGAACAATTTCTCTGTAGTTAGGTACCCTATGCATGAGAATAATCTAATTGAAATTCTTACCATTTATGCAATGGTGTCTACAAGCGTCCACAGAATTTGGTGTTCAAATATATTGCCAATGAGGACCACATGGGGAGAGACTAGTCCTTTATTTGTTAATTTTCGCAATTTCTGACATTCTTTGCATTAACATGCAATGTTATCTGTGAAGAAGTTTGGTAACTGTTACCATTATATCAGGATTACCTACTACATGTACAAAAGCAAGTGAATATCTAATGACTGCAGTTTTTACACACGTGTGCGCGCACAACATAACTATTACCTTAATTCACCGTTGTTCATTCTTGTGAAAATTTGGTCCATTCTTTTTTCTAGTCGTTTTATCCTGAAAATATATTTTTAAGAAATGATTTTGCTATTCATGAACATTATTGAATATAGAAATAGAATTAAAAGTACTTTCAAATATGTGTAAATACGACATTATATTAATAGTTTTAATCGTGATATTGCATTGTATGCACAGAAACATGCTTTTCTCGTTAAATGTTGATTAAAGATTAAAAAGTTGATTCAATTTAAAAACTATTTGTTGAAGAAAAATAGTATTTTTAATTTAAATATTTTTTTTTCGCGTATTAAAAAATATTTCAATTATTAACACATATTAATATAACGTATTTAATTATGTCTAAGAAACATGTGAAATAAAAACCAGAGGCCCAATGGAGCCTGAATCGCTGATATTTATTTATATTATCAATAAAACAAAGAAGGGACATCGAATCATGACCAAAGTAATAATATATAGAACATATTTGGAAGTTTGGTTTCAATTGCTTCAGTGGTTATTGAAAAGAAGATCGTTGTCCCCTTGAATCCATATTGAACTTATCTAAATTACATTTGAACACTTGGGAAATATATCTTCAATGGAAATTATGCCGGCATGTTTTTGTCACTTCATCTGTTTTGAAAATATAGTTTAAATGTCAACATTGACCTTGGCATCAAAGTAAAATTATTTGTTAAAGATCTACACAAAACATATATGCATAGTTTGGCTTCAATGGCTTCAATGGTTTGTTAGATGAAAATCTTTAAAAATCGATTCAATATAAGCCTTGCTAGCCCCTTGGAGCCATATTTGATTTTTCAAAAAAAAATATTTATATTGAATATCCGATCAATATTAATGCAACAACACTTGTTGAGATCCTGCCCAAAAACAATATTTAACGTCCAGTGGCAAATTAATATGCATATTCAGGACGAGAACATGTTAATGTAATATGAATTTATTCACCCTGCTTTGTACAAGACCGACACGCTGAGCCGGATTTTTATCGTTCAAGTTCACAAGGTAACAGTCTGCAGGAAGACATGTCACCTTACCCGGACACATTATTCTGACTCCGAGCCGACCAGTCTGCTCTTACTCCTTAATGCCGCGTGCTTAACGGAGAAGCAGCAAATACCATTTTTAAAGTCTTTGGTTTGGCCCGGTCGGGGTTCGAACCCACGAACTCCCTCACTCGAGGCGACAAGCTACCATGAGACCACAGAGGCGGTTATTTAGGAGAAGATCTATGGAAATCGGACCAATGATACCCTCGAGGCAATATTTGACATGTCATCAGGACAACAGTAATAGCACTTGGTAAGTATATTCTTTACCCAAATAACTCTGTCCCTACCCGTAATCGATCTCTCCTATTTACGTGGTAAATGTAGCAATCGAAGATCGGTGGAAAATGACGACTGGATTATTTGGGTAAGTATATATTCTAAGGAACTTTGTTTCATAATAATTTGTTTTCATTTCAATCTATCCATTCTTGGGGGGGGAAAGCAAAATTTAAAAGGTTTTCCAATTGACACCACAGTAACAACACTTGTTAAGGACCTTCAAATAAATGTACATATTTCATTTCAATAGGTACAATCGTTCTTCGGTAATAACCCAGAGTTTAGCTAATAAAATTAGAAAAGGCTGTCTTGATGAAAAAGATAAAAATTACATACACAAATTTATTCAGCTATTTTAATTTTTATAAATTACAGTGTATTTTTAAATCGAAATTCAAACCCGAAAAGTTCTTTGGGTACATCAATTTCAACATGATTACTTTTAACTAGAATATGCAGGATGACAATAAAAAAAAAAAAATTAACCGGAACTTTCACACGTAAATTCTTTTCCCTTCTGTTTTAGTTACAGAGACACATTTGTTAAAACAAATTCTTGTACTTACTGTTTCTCCTGACTTGAACGATATTTTTTTAACTTAGATTCAGTAATACCCATTGCTCAAATCGTAAGATTTGGTGGCGTTCTGTTTATCTGTAATACATTATGTTCGTATTTTATTCAAGGGACTACATAGTTTTTCCGCAACATGTCAAGAAAAGATCAGTGTATATCTAAAGCGATTGGCAACATTAAAATAATGAAGAAAAAAAAATGCAATGCATATATATTGTCTATATTGTAATTGATAAATATAAAAATCACTGTACTGATTATGCCCATAATGGGTCCTCTATTGGAAATAAAATTTATCTTATCTTATCTATATATAAATGTGTGTGTGTGTGTGTATGTGTGTGTTAAGTCCGGTTCTGATCGACGTCCGTTCCTCAAATCGACGTCCAAATCTGACGACATAATAAAATAAGATTCCAAATCGACGGCAAATTCTATCTCCCTCTAATCTACATGTCTTGTTTGTTGTCCAATATTTGGCTTCTTTAAACGACGTCCTTTTAATTTTACAGACTTGCCGCAATGGCGTCTGAACTTTATTTAATGAAAACAACTGTCATATTACTGATTTGATACAGGCATTTTCCGAATGCAAATGGTTTGTTGAACCTACAATTAAAAAAGTTGTAAAACAGAAGATTTTAAATCTTGCAGAGTCCAAATAATAATACTTTTCGGTTATCTTTGTTGTTGGGTTGTTTTCTCACTATATATAAAGAAACACAAAATGGCCGATATAGACCACATATAGAAGTGTACAAAAAAGACATACCAGCACATTATCGAATCATCTAGAATAGACGAAACTGCATATGTAAGGAAAACATTAAAAATTCTTAAGATAGCTATAATATACTTATAAGATGTAATAGAATCGTACTTCGGCTCAACAAATGGCTTTTTCAGTGTGTCTCGTCAATGTGTCTATCAAATGCAATACAATACTACATTGTAGGTGTTTATGTTTAAAAGTAGCTCAGTAATACTGTAACATGTAAATTTAAAACCAATTAATTTAATCCGAAATCCTACTTTACATAAAACAAAACAAAACTCAATAGCATGCATATGTTGACGTGACTGCGTACTTATACATCAAAAAATGGCAAAATGTAGTAGTTCGTGTAAATATATATGTTACAGTACAAATTAGAATTTAGAAGTATCCAGAATCCTCCTGCATGGCTGTCATTCGGTATATCGAGAAAAAATAAATAACGGTGGTCAGGTTTTGCGATCGGATCATGAAAGATCTTGTATCGGACCGCAAATGCAATTTAATACAATTCAACTGCAAAATCTGTGAAAATGTCCGTTTTGTTATTAAAAGGTAAAAAAAAATCAGAAAAACAAACATGTCTGTCAAAATGGGTCAACTTCATTAATAATAATGTGCACTAAGAAAAATGCAACACACTACCTTATGCGAATCATTACAGAATAAATAATGGATCTACATTCCAATTAATCATGATAGATTTGAAACTTTATGTGTAAGATAGGACAATAAAATATAAAGACAAGGCTAAACAAAATGAAAACAACACTGTAAAAACCTCTTGCGTCCGAATCGCACATCTGGACCCATCTGCACCAGGTACGCCTTAAGCCAAAACCCCGATAGCTAGATGCATAAATACCCAGTCACATCAAGAGTCATGGGACTAAAAAGGAACATAACAGCATAATAAACAAATGAAGGGAAAACTGTAAGGTAAATAAAAAGAGAAACAAAACTTCATCACTTCAAATCTATAACTCGAGACTTATATGTATTATTTTTGAAGTAGACACTGAATATTTATATATTAGGTCTGGGTACTTTCCGATGAACTTTTTTTTTAGAAAAAGGACGATACTTTCTTTGACAAAACACTGATTCGTCAATCTTTTGTTCAGAAACCGATGACGTTCTTCAAAGTCTGAGTAGCAGCTGAAAGTTCTTGGATATCGTACGAGTTGAGATATACATACTCCATACTCAGGTGAAGTTAGTATATTGCTGCTAAAATGAGGAAAATTTATACTTTAAAAATTGAAATCGTCTCGTTTGTCATAGGTTCTGGTACTGTGATGACCGCTGTAGTCAAGTTCGAGGTAAATGTCTAGAAATGAGGCGGAGGAAGCTGTTGTCTCTTTAATCTCTTGTTGAGGAGGATATATTAATGCAAACCAATCAAAAAAAGTTTTGACTTTTAATGAAAATAACATCATCAATTTTCCAGTATGTGAAATTAAATGATCTGGCTTCTTTGATCTTCTTTTTTTACAAATTTTTGAAGGAACTCCCGACTCATATGAAAAGAAGAAAAGGTAGGCAAAGAGAGGTGCACAGTTGGTTCCGATAGGAGTACCGACAACCTGCTGGTAAAATTTGACATCCAAATTCAACAAATATGTTGTCAACGAGAAACTCCAGCATACTGATCACTTGTTCTTCGAAATAGCATGTTTTATTTTCGGACTCATTTTCAACAAAGTATGCCGAATTATATCCGAAAACAATAAATTTGTAGCGCATGGTACCATTTTTATGGAGGAAAGCATTGTGGGTTATTTGTTTAATAGAAAAGAAAGGATATGGGTATCCATCTATGACACACAATCAGTACATGCACAGCAAAAAACACACAAAAAGCAAAGGAACAGCACTTTTATTGCTGTTCTTCATCTCAGTCACAGTGAGGCCTTCAACAAGGAGCAAACAAACACTCACATAATTGCAAGTTTAAGACGTCCCCTAGCACTGGTTTGAGCGAAATTAAACATGTAAGATGGGTTTCCAATTTTTCATTTGACATTTTGAATTTGGATGAGAATGTCCTTCTTGCATAAAGTTTTCTAATATCTTACAAAATGGCTTTACTTAACAATATTTTAGTTTTTATAATTATATGTTCAGTAATAAGATATTTTTGTTACAGCCTGAAATACTGTGATAATGTAAAGAGGTAGGGCCAGTTAAGTGGTATTTGTTTCATTTACAGGTTAGAACTGTTAAATCCAACTAGAGATTAAATATCAAAGAATCTTAATCAATATTCTTTAAAAAAAAGTATTTATTTTATTTTGTTTCTGTAAAATCTTAATTGTATTGATGCTATATGATGCTATTGAAATACTGTTGATGCAAAATTGTAAATTATACATGTTTTTGTAAAATTGTATATTGAAGGGACGTCTCAAACCAAAAGAGTGGATTTGTATTCCAAGACAGTATTAAGCTTTACTTCCAATAGAATTTTGAGCATGGTGAAGATTTCCGTCTTAGGTTTGTTTTAGACAAAAACTCCAAGCTCAAATGATTTGGTTAGAAGAGGTCATAATATTTCTAGAACCTTTAAGTACATACCTGGAACTTTGCTACTATGAATATAAATAAAAGATTGAATGACCTTTGAAAATGACCACGACGTGATATAGATTAGAGAAATTGGGCCCTTTTGTGAACTAAATTGTATATCTAAACACAGCTGTATTATCAATATTGTTCCATGAACAATGCTCTATCACTTTAATGATTTCCGTGACTCCAAGCTCAAATGATTTGGTTAGAAGAGGTCAAAATATTTTTAGAACCTTTAAGTACATACCTGGAACTTTGTTACTATGAATATAAATAAAAGATTGAATGACTTTTGAAAATGGCCACGACGTGATATAGATTAAAGAAATTGGGCCCTTTTGTGAAATAAATTGTATATCTAAACACAGCTGTATTATCAATATTGTTCCATGAACAATGCTCTATCACTTAAATGATTTCCGTGAATACTTATAAACAGGTTTTTTTCATTAAAATTGGTTCATTTACGATCATTATTTCCTGTGTTCTTGTTAACTATAAATAAAATTCATTTACGATCATTATTCCCTGTGTTCTTTTTAACTATAAAAACAATCATAATAATGTTGAACCGTTGTGAAAGACATTTTGTTTTTCATTTGTCTTTACAATTCAGTTAATTAGATTATGTATTGACTTTGCATAGAACTTCTCGATAAGATTTCCTTCACAATCCCATGCCGATCTTTCACGATCATGCCGCAATACTTGGCCACCGTTACTTACTCTTCCACGATCAGTTTTCTCGATATACCGAATAACACCCGTGTCCTAGAACAAATCAGAATTCCAATATCTACTTGTAGAAATTTGGATATCCTGGATTGTACTAAATAGTTAGTAGGATCCAGGATATTACTAAAAACAATAGGGTTAGTATGATTCTGGATTCTCCTGGATTTAAAAAAAAAAATATATTTATCATTTTAACTGATGCACTTGATAAGTAGAAAAACAAAATAAATTATAATATCCTGCCACATTCAATACCGTATTACAAACAAAATACGATAAAATGTATAAACTTTTATGAAATTCTTTTATTTATAATAACATAATTTTGCTAATATTTTGTTTATAGTATTTTGATGAGCAAACAATTTTGACTTAACAACATGAGTCCACTTTAAGATCTGCATGGCTTAATCATATTTCCAACATTTTTAATGAATGTGGTCTTTCTTTCATATAACTTATCAAAACTTTTACAAATATGATTGGCTAAAACATACGATTAGAACAAGTCTCCAAGATCAATTTATTCAAACTTGGAGTTCAAATATTGATAACAGTCCCAAAACGGTTAACTATTGCATTTATAAAGAAAGTTTCGCTTTCGAGAACTATTTCAATAAGCTAGACGATAAAGACGTTTTCACTGTTTGTAGATTTAGGACCATAAATCACAAGCTTCCAATTGAATCTGGTAGATGGGAGAACATACCTAGAGAAAATCAAACATGTAACTTGTGTAATAGAAATGAAATTGGAGATGAATTTCACTATATTTTGGAATGTACATATTTTTCAGAAGAAAGGAAAGAATGTATAGATAAAAAATACTGTACCAACATTAACACTCTAAAGTTTAAAGCAGTTATGAATTTTTCAAAACAACCAAAACTTAAAAAGTTGTGTAAGTTCATTAGAATCATAAATAAAAAATGGATTCTCTGATAAAATGTAAGCCTTCAAACCTATGCATTCTTTTCATCTCTATAAGAAGTCTTTA